CTGCACCTCGACCTAACCCTAACCCTAATCCTATCGCTTACCTTCAGCAACTGGTACACAAGCACAGCCAGGTCCCGCTGTACACTCCCCTCTTCCAATTTACAGCCATTCAGGTAGTAATCTGCCTTCTTGTTTTTGCTTCCAAAGTGAGTAACCTCATATTTATCCAAATTCTACTGCATCTGCCATAGATTTGCCCACTCACCCAACCTGTCCAGATCATGCTGAAGGATCTCTGCATCCTCATCACAGTTCACCCTCCCACCCAACTTGGTATCATCTGCAAACTTTGATTTGTAACATTTTGTTCCCTCATCCACATCATTAACAGTGAATTGTGAATCATTATATTGTCCCAGCATCGATCCCTGCGTCACCCCATGAGTTACTGCCTGTCAAATTGAAAAGGACCTACTAATGCCTACTCTTTGTTTCCTCTCTGCTAACCAATTTTCTATCTATTTCAACAGACTTGGCCCAAACTCATGCATTTTAATCTTGCACAGTAATCTCTCAACGTTTGGATAACATGCTTTATTTTATTCTTTTTGCTAAAATAGACAATTTCATACGTTCTCACCTTATTGCTCAATTTGCTACATATTTGCCCATTCATTCAGGCTTTATATCTTCCTGTAATCTTCTTCAGTCTCTTTCACAACTTACTTTCTGACATTTTTTTGCATATTTGGCAACCATACTTTCCATCCCTTCATCAAAGTTATGTATATAAATTGTAAACAGTTGAGGTCCCAGAACTAATCAATGGACACAAAACATTGCATCTTGCCAAACTGAAAAGGACCCATTTTTGCACCTACTCACTGCTTCCAAACAGCCAATCTTCTTGTGATGCCCATTCCCTACAATACGAGATTTTAGTTTTCCACAATAACCCTTGATGTGGCACTTTTTCAAATATCTTTTGGAAATCCCAAGTGCAATACATCCATCAGTTACCTTTTACCCACAGCACACGATTTCCTCAAAGAAACCAAAAGAGTTATCAAACATGATTTTTTTTTAACCAAAACCACATTGACTCCTCAAATTAATCAGGTACTTAGCTAAATGGTCTGCTGTAACATCTTTCATACTAGCTTCTAATATTTCTCTGTGATGGATGTTAAGCTAACTGACATGTAGTTTCCTGCTTTCTGTCATCCTTCCATTTTGAATAAAGGGTTTACATTCTCATTGGGTTTTGGTGAAAGAATAAAACAATAATACTCAGAAGGACGAATGTACAATTTGAAAATTAACCTTGCCTTTTATCGAAGCAAGAGAGTTTATCAATGACATTTCTTCGGGCTCCAGATATGGAAGTTTACCACAGTTAGGTTAACGTGACCACCAGGCCATGAATGTGTACATCTGCCTGGCAATCTGTTGGCACCATCTTCAATCTTAAAACCTGTTATTTCAGAATCTTAAAGCATCTTGAGCATTTCATTGGAAATAGTTGCAGCTCCAGGCAGAAACAAGTGATTCATTAGTAACACTCAAGAATTTTGTGCATACACAGCCAATTACTTCTTAATGCATGCTGTGAGCCACAAAAGCAGCCCCAAACATCATCAGTTCAACAACAACAGCAACTTATATTTATAAAGCATCTATAAGCGTAATAAAAAAAAGGTATTTCACAGAAGCATTAGCAAATGAAATCTAAGTCACATAAGGAGACACGTTTGACTCAGTACAGCAGCATCAAGGATATTCAGCAAAATTGGAGTCAACAGGAATGAGGAGTAAACTCTGCAGTGGCTGGAGTCATATCTGGTGCATAGGAATATGATTGTGATTGTTGGATGTTAGGCATCTGAGCGGCAGGACAAGCCTGCAGAAGTTCCTTAGGGTAGTGTCCTCGGCTCAATCATCTTCAGCTACTTCATCAATGACTTTCCCTCCTTCACAAGGTCTGAAGTAGGAATATTCGCTGATGACTGCATAGTATTTGGCACCAGTTGCAACTCCTGAAATACAACAACGGTTCCTTTCTAAATGCAGCAAGACCCTGGGCGATACCTAAGCTTGAGCTGAAAAGTGGCAAATGACAGTCACACCACATAAGTGCCAGACAATGACAAACTCCAAGACAGAAAATAAGCATCACTCCCTGAAATTTAATGTCATTACCATCATTGAATCCCCCACTGTCAACATCCTTGGGGTAAACAGCAATCAAAAACTGAACTGTACTAGCCACATAAATAATGTGATGACAAAAGCAGGTCAAAGTCGAGAAATCTTGTGGTAGCAATTCAAATCCTAACTTCCTAAAGCCTGCCCACTCTCCACAATGCACAAGTCAGGAGTGTGGTGGAATTATCCCCACTTTCCTGGATGAGTGCAGCTCCAACAACAGTCAAGCAGTTTGACACCATCCAGGACAGAGCAGCCCGCTTGACTGGCATCAGATCCATAAATGTACACTCCCTCCATCACCAATGCACAGTGTGTACCACTGCAGAATTCTCAAAGGCTCCACAGACAGACCTTCCAAACTCAAGACCACCACCATCTGGAAGGGTAAATGCAGCAGAAACATGGCAACAACTGCAGGTTTCCCTCTAAGTTACTCAACATCCTGACTCTAAAATGTATCAGCATTCATTCAGTGCTACTGATTCAAAATTCTGGAACTCCATCCTTAATGGTCATGATTCACTAAAATTCATGGTTGTATGATGTCCAGATGCGGGGTGGGGAATGTTAGAGGAAGGGAAGTGGAGTCACAATATTCATCAAGGAATCAATCACATCAATTCCCTCCAAAACCAGGGGTCACAGTCTAAGCATGGAGGGTGAGCCATTTAGAATGAAAAATGAGGAGAAATTTCTTCAGCCAGAGAGTGTGGTGAGACTGTGAAATTTTCTGTCACAGCAAGTGGCTGAGGTCAAAATATTGAATGTTTACAAGAAGGAATTAGGTACAGTTGTTAGTGCTAGAGGGATCAAAGAGTTTGGGAAGAAAGCAGCAACACGGTAGCAAGTTGGATGATCAGCCATGATCATACTGAATGGCACAGCAGGCTTAAATGGCCTCGCTCCCCCCCTCCTCCTCCTATTCTCTATGTTTCTGTGGCAGTGAGAAGGGATGGTATCTCGGAACGATCATCAAATGAGGGTATGTGTATTAAAGTAAAAACAGAAAGGAGTAAACACACTATTGTATGGGTACAATAGACCTTTGAGGAGTCAGGGAGAGATTACAGGATCAAGTATGTAATCAAATTTCAGTGATGTGAAAAAAGAGGCAATAATAATAATAAAAATAATAGTAAGGGTTTTTTGGCTACCCAAATCTCAACCAAATATTAATGCAGCTTTAATGTGCAAAGAAAGGAGAGAATAAAATTCTTAAGTTGCACCCAGAACATTTGTAACCCATTTGTAGAAAGCCCAACAAGGAAAGGGGCAGTTCTGGAACAACTATTTGGAAATCAGCCTAGGCAGATGCAAGGCGTATCTGAAGGGGAATATTTTGGAGGGAGTGACCATAACTCATTTAGATTTAGGGCTGCTATGGAAAGGGGATGGATATGTCAGGAGTAAAGTTTCTAAACTGGTGAAAGGCTAATTTTACTAAGAAAAGATACGATTTGGTTTAAGTGGACTGGGAGCAGTTACTTGCTGATAAAAACTGTGTCAGAGCAGTCAGAGGTAATAGTTCGAGTACAGATTGATTATGTTCCAATAAGTTAAAGAGCGGGACCAAGATTTGGACAACCTTGGATGTCAAGAGATATAAAGGATAGAATTAAGAAAAGAGAAGCTTCTGACAGATACCAATAGCTAAAATCAGCTGAATCCCTTGGAGGACTAGAAAAAGTTCAGACCATAAAACTGAAATTTGGAAAGCAAAGATAATGCATGAAAGCATACTAAGGGGAAAGATTTCTCTCTATCTACACCCCTCATAACTTTGTACATCTCAATGAGGTCTCCCCTCAGCCTTTTCTGCTCTCAGGAATACAACACCAACTTATCTGGTCTCCCATAACTGTTGAATCTCTCTAGCCCAGGCAATATGCAGGTGGATCACTTCTGCAACCTTTCTAGTGTAATTACATCTGTCCTAGAGTGTGGTGACACAAAACTATACCCAGTACTCCAGCTGTGGCCTAACTAATATTATATACAGCTCCAAATAACCTCCTCATTCGTGTATTCAATGTCTTATCCCATATGCCTTCTAAGCCACTTAGCTACCTATCCTGCTTCCTTCAAGGACCTATGGACTTGTACACAAAGGTCCCTCTGATTCTCTGTATTTCTCAAAATGTATCATTTTGCACTTTTTAAAGAATAAATTCTATTTCCCACCATTCAGCACATCTGATCAGCCAGTCTATATCATTATGTAGTCTAATGGTTTCCTCCTTGCTTTTTTTTTAACCAGATTACCAATTCTCACGTCAACTGCAAACTTACTAATCATGTCTAGATCATTATGCACACAACACAGATAGGCCAGCACCAAACTCTGTGGTACACAACTGACAGAGGCTTCCAGGCATAAAGATAACACATGGATCCCATGGCTAGCTTCGTAACCAGATTGTCATGTCAGACGTTGCCAAATGTTTCACTGAAGTCAATGTTGCCTACTACATCAGCTGCACTATTCTCATTTACACATGCAGTAATATCCTCAAAGAATTCAATCAAATTTGTTGGACACAATCTCCTCCCCGACAAAGGGACACTGACAATCCTTGATTAGTCATTGCCTCTCTAAGAGGAGATTAATTCTCTCAGAAATTTTTCCAACAGTTTCGCTCCCATGGATGTTAGACCCACTGGCGTATAGATTCCTGGTTATTTCCTATCACCTTTGTTGAGTAACGCTACGACATGAGCTGTCCTCCAGTCCTCATACACCCCTTATGTGGCCAGAGAGGAGTGAAAATTAATGTTAGAGCTCCTGCAATTTTCTCCCTTGCTTCCCACAGCAGCTTGTGATCCATCTTATCTGGGCTCGGGGGTTTATTCACTCTAAATCCTCCTAAAATCTTAAAACCTCCTTCCACATAATGTTCATTTATTCACATATATCACAGACCCCTCCAATTTTTATACCTACATCATGTTTCTCTATAATGAATGCAGTGGGGTTCCACAGGGTCCTTGCTGCTTGTGGTATATATTGATTTAGACTTACATAAAGGAGGTATGTTCGAGAAGTTCATGGATGACACAACAACTGACAGTGTGTTAAATAATGAGGAGGATAGCTACAATCTGAAGGGGAGCATAATGGACTGCTCAGGTGGGCAATGCAGACGCAAAAAGAATTCAACTTGGAAAAGTATGAGGTAATACATTTGGGGAGGGCTAACAAGGAATGGAATTACACTATGACTGGTAGGCCCTTGGAAAGTACTGAAGATCAGAGGTACCTTGGTGTGTATATCCTCAGATCCACAAAGTTGGCAGGGCAAATATAAGGTGGTTATGAAACCATATAGAATATCTGTTTTATTAGCTTGGCATAGGATACAAGAGCAAGGAGGCCACGCTGGAATCGAATAAAAGGCTACCACATCAAAGCCACATCTGGAGTACTGTGTGCAGTTTTGGTCACCGCAATATAAGTAGGAGATGGTTACACTCAAGAGGATGCAGACGAGATTTACCAGGGCTGGGCTGGAGGTCTAAGCTTTGAAGTAAAATTGGATAAGCTGGGATTGTTTTCCTTAGAACAGTCAAAGTTGACAGATCCGGAGGTGTATAAAATTAATAGAGACATAGACAGCATGAATAGAAAGGCGCATTTTCCATTATTAGAGGGTCAATAACCTGGGGGTATTGTTTTGAGCTAAGCGGTTGAAGGTTAAGAGGAGAGTTGAGGAGAAATATTTTCACTCAGAGGGTGGTAGAAGTCTGAAACTCACTGCCTGAAAGGACAGTTGAGTCAAAAACTCCCATAACACAAGTAGAATTTAGATATTCACTTGTATTGCCATAACCTATTGGGCAATGGGCCAAAAGCTAGAAATTGAGATTAAATAGGTCTTCTTTGACCGTTGTGGATGCAATTGGCTGAATGATAACCATCTGTGCTGTAAATGCCTGAGAGTCAATGAGTCTATGGATGTAGTTTACGTGAACTCCCAGATGTCATACATTAAGAGTATCAGCTGGAATTATTTCTTGTGAAATTTAAGGCAAACTGTCGAAATGGTTGGAAGATTTGTTAAACAGTACAAGACAGATTAAAAAATAACTAAAGACTTGGGCAGAATGTCTCCGTCCCTAGAGGCGGTGGGAAGGTTGTTGGAAAGGACAACTAATTGGGTGAGTGCACCCTACAGCGTGACTGATGCCTTCTCATAGTCTGATCAACACAACACAGCGCAGAAAGTCCACTGGGGAATTTCTCAACTCACCAGCAATTAAAAGCCCTTAAAAGGTCAATTAGCAGGGAATGTGCTTTCCTCTGGCCCCAATATCTGCAAGGGAGAAACGTAGCTGGCTTCCATCAGGGAAACCAAGGTGATCTGCCTGCTGGGTTGGAGGGAGATGTAACTACATCGGGACAGCGATGTTGTTCAAGGTGGCGGCTGTTTAAAACTAAAAACCCACCCCGATTCTTGCCTGCAACACCCTCTCTTTGTGACAACAACCACACAAAAATCAAGAGGAAAACACTAACCTTCTCATCTTTGGATTCATTGAATACTAGACCTCAACCAACCTTCTTTAGGATCCACAGGCTGCAGGCCTCTGATTTGCCAACAGTCTTGCTGGTAAGCTCCTGACAGGCTTACTTTGGTGAGCTCTCTCAGTGGTCAGTCAGTCACCACTAAACAAATGTGCCCCCACACTTAGACTACAATTTGGACAATCACAGCGAGTATATTAACTTGGACAATCACAGCGAGTATATTAACTTGAATTGGAAGAAGTGACAGCTGTATTCCAAAAGAATCTGTTTGGGGACCTCAACTGTTCACTATTCTTATTAATGACCTGGGTAACATGATGCAGCTATATATCCAAGTTCGACAGGGCCAGAAAGTTTGACAGCTTAGTAAGTAATGCAGGTAATGGCATAAAATTACAGAGACATTGATAGTTTGAGTGAATGAACAAGTTTGTATCGGATAGATTTCCGATATGATAAATTATGAGGTCATCTGCAATACAGCAGAGGATTATTTATCTTGTGAAAAGTTAGGGATAACTGTGAGTCCAAACTTAGGGGTCCATGGACAAAGATTATTAAATACAGTAGTCCGACACACAATAATTCAAAAGAATTATAATGTCATTGGAGCAAATTAATAGAAATAGGACGAAGAACTGTTCAAAGCCCTGTTTCGGCCGTACAAAAACAGAAGTTGCTGGAAAGACTCAGCAGGTCTGGCAGCATCTGTGAAGAAAAAAATCAGTTAACGTTTCGGGTCCAGTGACACTTCCTCTGAACTGAGTTGTTCTTGATTTACAGCATCCGCAGTTCTTTCGGTTTTAATCCTGTTTAGGCCATACTTGGTATACCATGCACAATTCTAGGCAATGCACTCAGAAAGGCCTTGGTTGGAGTGCTGCACAGAACCATCAGAACGTTCCAGGTCTCCAAGAGATAGATTATACAGAGACATTAAGTTAGCCTTTTTCTCATTTCCTAAGAATACAGAGGGTTATGGATGATTTGATTGGTATTTTAGGCAATTGAAAAGAACTGAAAGGAGACAGAAACTTTCCCACTGATGGTAGAACCTTAGAGAAGGGTACATAACCTTAAAATTAGAGCCAGGTTAGTTTGAAAAGAACTTAAGAAACACTTCTTCACACAAAGGATTGTGGAAGTATGGAAATTACTCCCACAAAGAGCAGCACATCATAACTTAATTAATCATTTTAATCGAAAGCAACATTCTTTTCCTAAGGGCATGTAGTCTTGGCAGATGAATGGAGGTAAGAAACAGACAGTCATAAATGAACTGAACAGCAGAACAGCCTTGAAAGGACTTTAGTCCCACTACTAATCTACTTTTGCATAAAGTATGTATTACCACACTCAACCACTTAGTGTCAGTCTAAACTGAGCATTTTGCAGTAAATAAATTCCCACTTCCATTTCTTAAAAAAAACTATTACTGTAATGTTATTGCTACAGGCCAACAAGATCACATTTTTTCTTAAAAATTGCACTGTTTAAATAAATACAGCAGATAAAAATGATTTAAACCTAATATACTTCAGTGCTTGCAAAATAAAAGTCAAAGTATTATATATGTCTGTATGCAGTGTAAGATGGATATGAAAACATAATTAGGAAAGGCACTACTAAAATGAGTAAACATAAATATTTTTAAAGACAATTAATATGATTGTGAAATACAAAGAATATTAAGAGACAAGGACTAATCTAAACTGAACACTGATTGGAATGCTCGAAATGTATTCAAGGCCAATCTCGGGTGAAAATAAGTTCTTGATTTCATTCTTTTTGACATGACATATATTCAAAATTTCTATGAGAATCTTGTCAGCTATTTCAGATGTTTGTTAATTGTGACTTGCATAAAATTTGATCAAAGTTCTTTTCTACTTATAAAGGAACAACAACAAGAGGATCTATGATATAAATTAATCTGGAAAAGGGTGAAGTGAAGAAAAACATTTTCACACAGTGAGTGGTCAGGACAAGGAATATATTGCCTGGATATGTGGTGAAGGCAGACTCTATTGAGGCATTTAAGAGGGGATTGGATAGTTATTTGATTAAAATAATGCACGAGGTTTGGGGAAAGAAACACGACATTGACACTAGGCAATAATATTCATTTTATGAGCCAGTGTAGATATTATGGACCAAATGGTCCTCTTCTGCAACCCTACACTTTCTATATTAGTAGTGGGACTAAAGTCCTTTCAACACTTCTGCTGTTCAGTTCATTTATGATTGTCTGTATCTCACTTCCATTCATCTGCCAAGACTACATGCTCTTAGGAAAAGAATATTGCTTTCAATTAAAATGATTAATTAAGTTATGATGTGCTGCTCTTTGTGGGAGTAATTTCCATACTTGTGATTCTGTGAAATGGTTTTCTTGAAACACGGACCTAAACAGTGTAGACAGGCAATTGTATAGAATAGATTACATCACAGGCAATTTAACACCCTTTGCATCAAACATCATGCAACTGCTCTTTCCAGCAGGAACCACTGACTGGGATCACTAGATCACTTGCTAATTTCATGCCACACAGGCATAAAGATTATAAGTAATATTATTTGAGAATATAAATAAAAGAAAGACACTATCAATCATCAAACATGCTTTCCACAAAATGCTGAAACCATTCCCTGCCTCACAGTGACCGGGAATGGTAAGTAGGGTCCCTATATGCACTATGCTTCATGCCACACCTAGTGGTAGATTTACCATTGGGCCATTAAAGAAGAATTTTTTGTAAATTTTTTACTAAAATAAAAGCACTGAATGCCAATTTTGGTTTGAATTTGAACATGCTGTAGTGGACAGATGTTACAAGTTGCAAGATGTTAAAGAAACAATAAAATGCCACATCGAGAAGTCAATAGGAGCCCACTGACTTCCATGTGTAATTGTGTGGGAACCCCTCAAACCCAGTCTGCCATTAACACAAGTTAAGGGAACTGACTGCATCCCTCAGCTTGGATTCCACTTTTAACTTCCAGTACGTGGTTTTCCTGAATTCTCTGAAGTCGAAAGAACATAGGATTCACAGATCCGAACAACGGTGACATTTCAAATATTAAGATACAACAGTGCTCCTTTGCCTAGGTGAAGGGTTGTGCTCACGGGGGTGGGTCTGAATGTTTGCATTCTTTTGAAGGTTCTTGACTTTGATCTACAGTCCTCCCATCTGGTAGCCTTCAGATCAGCTTTAAGTGCTTGAATCAGAAACATTAACAAGGAACCACAAACATTGCATTGCTTTTGAGGTGTTTGATTAGCAACTCAGTCAAAGGAGGTCAAGTGAGAAAATTCTTCATACATCCAGAAATATTTTTGTTTAATTTTGTAATTTGTGCGATGACAAATATAAAAAAAAATGCAGGTCACAAAATTTAGCCAAGCAATGATCAAAGGATGACAGTTTCAATTAAGGATAATGTGGGACGAATAATGCATTTTGTCCTTATTCTTTTAGACAGTAGAGATTAAGGGTTTAGGTCATGAGCTCATTGCCATGATGGCAGCATGGCATGCTGGGTAGAGTTCGGGCTCCTGAGCCCGTCCACTCCAGGCTGGCCACATCTTTCTTTTTCTCGTTTCTTTTCTCTATTTTTTCCCTTCATCTTCTGATGTCGTGACAAAGCCAGAGCAGAACTCGGCACGTTGCCTGTTGCAGTAGTGGCGGTGCCTGGAGTGAGGATTTCCGGTTACAGTAGGCCAAGAGCATGGATTCGGGGACTTGGCATGTCTTCGGCTGTGGTGGTGATAGTGCATGGTGCGAAGAGTCCTGGCTGTAGTAGGCCTGAAGCATGGGCTTAGCGGGTCATCGTCTACGGTGGTGGTAGTGCCTGAAGCAGGGGCCTCTTTGGGGCAGGTCACTGTGGCTGAAACAGTGCCCAGAGTGAAGACTCTTGGCTGCGGGAGACCTGAAGCTTGAGACCCAGTCTCCTTGAGGCCAAGGATACCCTGAGAGATCCTGGAGCTGTGTTTGAAGACCCCTTGTACAGAAGATGCACTCAATTTATGTAATTTCTTTTTATACTTTTTCTGACTCAAAATCGTGCTGGATTGTGGTGACAAAACACTTTTCACTGTATCTTTCTAGAAAAATGTGACAATATATAACTCACCAGTGATAGGAGATACTGTTGAAGAGGCCTTGGTAAGTTGTTTCAATTATGGTACGTAATGCAGCAATGGAGCACCAGTGAAGAAGAAAACTAATTTTTAAGGTAGCAGATGAGTGTCAAACAGATTTCTTTGTCTTGTACAATGATTATCTTGAGTGTTTTCTGAGTTGCATTCATCCGAGAAATCCATCATACTTTTGACTTGTGCCATGTGGATTGTGGGCAAGCTTTGGGGAATTAGGAGGCGATTCACTTACATCATAGAGTCATAGAGTAATACAGCATGGAAACAGGCCCTTCGGCCCAAACTGATCCATGCTGACCATGGTGCCAATTCAGCTAGTTCCAAATGCCTGCAATTGGTCAATATCCCTCTAAACCCTTCCCATCCATGTACCTAACAAAATGTTTTTTTTAAATATTGCTACTGCACCTGCCTCAACTACTTTCTCTAGCAGCCCATTTCACACACGCACCGCCCTCTGTGTGAAGAAGTTGCCCCTCAGATTAAATCTATCCCCTCTCAACTTAAACCTATGCCATCTAGTTTTCAATTCCCCATCCCTGGGAAAAAAGACTATATGCATTCATCTTGTCTATGTCCCTCATGATTTTATACACCTCATTAAGGTCACTCCTCATTCTCCTATGTTCCAAGGAATAAGGTCCTATCCTGGCCAACCTCTCCCTGTAACTCAGGCCTACTAATCCTGGCAACATTCTCGTCAATCTTCTTTGCACACTTTCCAGTTTAGCTATGTCTTTCTTATAACAGGGCGAGCAAAACTGTACACAATACTCCAAGTGCAGCCTCACCAACAACTTATACAACTGTAACATAGGGTCCCGACTCCTATATTCAATGCCTCGACCGATGAAAGCCAGCATGCTAAATGCCTTTTTCACCACCCTGTCCACGTGTGATGCCACTTTCAACGAACTATGTACTTGTACTCACAGGTCCCTCTGGACCTTACCATTTACTGTACAAGTCCTACCTTGGTTTGACTTTCTAAAGTGCAGCACCTCACACTTGTCTGTATTGAATTGCATTGGCCAATCCTCAGCCCACTAAACCATCTGATCAAGATCCCCCTGTAATTTTTGATAACCTTCCTCGCTATCAATGATACCTCCAAATTTTATATCATCTGAAAACTTACTAATCATGCCTTGTTCATTCACATCTAGTTCATTTATGTAAATAACAAATAACAAAGGTCCTAACACCGACCCCTGTGGCACACCACTAGTCACACGCCTCCAGTCTGAGAAACAACCTTCAACCATCACCCTCTGCTTCCTACCATCGAGCCAATTTTGAATCCAGTTAGCTAGGTCTCCCTGGATCCCATGCAACTTAACCTTCATTATTAGCCTGCCAGGCAGGACCTTGTCAAAGGCCTTACTAAAGTCCATATAGACAACATCCACTGCCCTACCCTCATCTATCCTCTTGGTTACCTCTTTGAAAAACTCTAAAAGATTTGTCAGGCATGATCTCCTGTGCACAAATCCATGTTGACTATCCAAATGTCGGTGGATCCTGTCCCTCAGTATCCTCTCCGATAACTTGCCTACCACTGACGTCAGGCTCACTGGCCTGTAGTTCCCTAGGTTATATTTGCTACGTCTCTTAAACAATGGAACAACATTAGGCACCCTCCAGTCTTCCGGAACTTCACCAGTGGCTAAAGATGAAGCAAAAATCTCTGCAAGGGCCTCTGCAATTTCTTCCCTGGCCTCTCACAACACCAGAGTATGGACTTGGTCAGGCCCGGGGGATTTATACATCTTAATATGCTTGCCAAAGAACCCCCAGCCTCTTAGATGTTCTTACAGTCACAGTTGTTAGACACTTGGTCCAGGTAAGCTCCTGACCAATGATAACCACATAATGCTTTTGGTGGAGGATTCAACAATGTAAATACTACTGAACATTGAGATGGCCATTGTACACTAGTGAAGGTACTTTCCATCATTTTACTGATGATTGAGAATAGATGATTGTGTCTGGATTGGATTTATCATGCTTTTTTTGTGAACAGGACACACCTGGTCAATGTTTCACATTATTGAGTTAATGTTGATGTTGCAGCTGTGCTGCGCAGCTTTGTTCCCCTGTAGGACATTTATTTCTTTTTCAAATATGTGCTGGAAATTTAGCACAAGAAAGATTGGGCAGTGCAATATTTCAGAATAATAGGTGAAAATCATACGGGGCTACTAATATATATCATCACTAAATGGTCTACATTATCCCAATCAGCCAACATTTCCCCTGAAATGTGCTGATTTCAGAATCAAGTCTTTCTTCCTTGATCTTTAAAAAAAGTGCTATTTTACATTTGCTAATTGTCTCTTGGCAATAAGCCTTGTCAAAGGTATGGATTGCAATATTTAATCTTAACATTACAGTGGAATTGGGTTCTAAGGTAAATGTATCTGTGCTCCAAGTATGAAAACTTACTTGTTAGCAGTGAACATTAAGGTTTTGAGCAAGAAACCCTGCAGGATTTCCCACCCATTAATATTAAATACCACATTGTCAGATCGTTACTCTGCCCTGAATTTCCAGAACAGACAAGGAAGAAATAAATGTCCCACAAAGGATCAAAACTGTCTGCTACAACTACAATTTCTGTTGCTCGCTTATAATTGTTTATGCATTGAATATTTAGCCATATTCCCATGTTATCAGACTAAAGAAGTGGGAGGAAGAGGCTTCCAGCATTTTTTGTGGTGGAAAAACATTCGGAGCACTCTCTCCTAGCTTTAAGTGCAAAGGTAAGGGTCTTCAGATTTGCATTTGCTATTAAAATTTTAATGCCACAATAAAATGATGAAATATGAGTAAAATGCCGGATTTTTCTAAAAACAATTATTCTGTTGCTTCAACTCTTCATTTGTTTGCTTTACTTGCTTATAGGTAGGCCTAGAGGAATAGTACAATATAAAAGCCCAGTTCACAGGGTCACATATAGCGTTGCCAGTTACATCAATGCGATCAGCATTCACTGCTACAGAGTGTAAAAGCAAATGTGCACTGTAACATGAAAATCCAAAGGCTGAAGTGGGTCAACCATCATTATTCTCAAGGGTTTGCTAGTCTAAGCAGGAAGTGTGGAACCAGTGCCAATTTGGATTATTACCCAATAATAATGAATTAATAACAGTCTAAAATATTAAATCCATATTTCCAGATATAAGGTGTCTCCTCTTAATTCTATATGCATTTAATAACGAAGGCAATACTATTATGAAAGTTAAAATGGATGTGTTTCTTAACGTGAATATAAAATTGATGAGTTTTTACACCTCATTTGTCAGAGTTTAATATTACTTTTTAAAATGATTTAACTGCTCAAAATTATTATTACATCAATCCGGTCTACTACTTGTGATTTTCATCATCATTTCGCTACAGCAATCTGCAGTACCATTTTTGTAATGTAGTGACTGTAAGTCACTGTTTTCATCCACTCTGGGCAGGACTATGGACGATCACTAGAAGGGCATCCTCCCTCATGGCAATCGAAATTCATGCAGGTTTGTGCAGATATATTAATATCAGAAGGAAGCAGAATTGTTGTACTACTGACTACAACATATAGAATATCAGAAATAAGGAAATAATTGTTTAAAAGCACAATTGTCTGGCATTTCCTCCACTTCTCAAG